TCAATAGGTGAGGTCTCACAAAATGTAGAAACTTTTGAAAGCTGTAACTTCGTTTATACAAAACTTTAAGGTTCTGAAAGTGGTTTTATGGGTTTCCTCGTGAAATTTTTAACTAGAGGCACCCCTTAAAATTTAAAATTTGGCGAAATATACGTCAAAATTTTCAGTTTTAGTCAAAAATTTCGTGTCCGACCTCTCTGATTGACTCGATCCACTGTGTGGCGCATCATTCTACAGCCGGAGACTTGAACGAGACCAGAAACGTGGAACTACCCTTTTTCGTCGGCTGTCCTTCGATTCATAGACCTTCGATTCAGGATGACCAACTAGCATTTTTCAACGGAAAAATCGCGATATTTTGAAATTAGGTTGCTATTTTTTTTTTTTTTTTTTTTTTTTTTTTTTTTTTTTTTTTTTACGATTTGTTGGCTATAAAATTGCCATCGTCACCATCTGAGCGATTACCCTCAATTTCATTTCTATCAACTCGCGTTCAATAAAATTGAAATTTTGTCTCAATCTATCAAGATTTTTTTGTACGAGAATACTGCGATAAATCATCGTCGATAGAATCGCGATTTTATTGCAAAATGTGTAGAAATCGCAGTTTATCGCAATTTTTGTATCCGATAATGTTGCAATAAATCGACGTGGATAAAATCGCAATACATTCTCCGATCAAAATCGAAAATTATCGCGATCACTGCTCCTTGGGCGGCGGAGGTCTGAAATTTCGGCCCCATCTGCGCTGGATTTCCCTAGTAATCCACGGATACTGGCTTGAACAACCCCGTGATCAAGTTTTCATTCTCAAGATGTAAAGCTAATGGTGAAGACAGTTAAAACAGAGCATCGATGCCGAAATGCAAGAAATTCGTGTCTCAATTGCAACTTTTGAAAATCTCAGATCATGCTTTATTTCCTTTAAGAAAAACAAACCTAAATGTTTCCTTGTATTTATGAGTGATTTTTTAGAGTTAGTGGGAAAAATTCACAGCTTTAATTGGAGACTGTTGGTATAGAATATCCTTTTAAAAAAATGAAACATGAGCGCAGACTCACAACGTCGCAATCTGAGATACATATTCATCGACTTTAGCCGGCAACATACCGAATGTAATATTACATTCACACTAGAAGGGTCGCTCGGAAAAAAAATGTCCCAATTTATTTTTCACGAAGCATTAAAATTACAAACTTTCAACATTTACTATCGAAAACCTAAACTCTCGGTTTCCTTCAATGAATTGATATTGTGCATTCGCCCCAAAAATTGCATTATTTCACGACCTCCTTAAGAAATTTTCTGCCACCTGTTTTTTTAAAAAAAAAATACATTTAATTTTTTTAATGGCTACAGAAACTCGAAAAACACAAATGTTGCTTTAAATTCTTTTGAGGTTGCTAAAGTCAAATTTTTCACACGAAGCGATGCAAAATTTCCCTACTACTTTTACTATATTATACATAAAAATGTCGAATTTATGTACAATTTCAATAATTACAAATGGTGTCAAACATTGTCCAGCTTTTTTTGGGACATGACTGGAAAAACTATCAAATTAATATCCATGTTTTAATAAAGTTGGAGAATATTCGTAAAAGAACAAAGAAAAATCACAAAAGATCTCGCATGAAGGGCTTTTAAAATTTCATGAAACTCTGAAATTATTTTTTTGATCGACTATCGAACTCTGCACGTCAGAGCCCTATATTCGGCTGGACGAATGCATTTTCATTTGATAGAATTGATGGATGAGGCTATGTTGGTAGGTGCAGTGGCGAGGTGTAAATGATCGATTATCGATATTTTCCAATTCTGAGCTATGGTAGAGAATCGATTATTAAGGTGTTCGTTGCGAACACCCGATTATCGAGCCACTTTCATAGGTTTAAATGACAGATCAATCGATTTATATCAAGGCACCCCACGCCCACGCCGCTGCGTTATGGATAAGGATCGATATACAGGGTGTTCGCAACACCTTAATAACCGATTCTTTACCATAGCTTCAAATGGAGAGATATCGACAATCGATCATTCACGCCAGGCCACTGTATGGCAGGTGGTATTTCCGCTAATACTCTATGCTTAGACTTGGCATCCGGTTAAATAATATTACTTTCCTGTGATCCACAAAATTGAACCATCATAACTTGATTCTTTTACCAGGCCGATTGCGTGACATCTCTAATATTGCATCCAGGAGGTCGAGAATTATTTTTTGTTCATCAATTATTGGACTGCATCATGCAAATTAGGAACTAAAATTTCTAGCTCATCACTTATGCGCATAAGGAAACTGATGGCGCATACGATCTTACTCAACTGAGTCAGAAATTGTACTTCCTAATTGGTAAATGTAATCCAATTTTCTCATAGGCACCACGAGTGCGGTCACAAGTGCAGTCCTTGTCGTGTGGAGTTGTGGACTGTGATCCTTGGCTGCTGCGAATCTGGGGATTTTGCTTCCAGATCGAGGACCACTTTCTTCGGCGCACAGTGGCCACTTGCGGAGTGATTCTTGAAATCGATGGACTAAGCTATAGACAAAGAAGACGAAAGGGTTATGGAAGGATCCTATTGAGGGGAGCAGGTGGTTGCAATGGACAAAGGAGGTTGGTAATGGACTAACTAACGGCAATCCACAAGAGTTTGTCAGGGTTGCAATTTTTCATGTAATATAATCTTAAAATTTCACGTGAAATATTTCATGAAATTTCAGAAATTGATGAGAGGTATTGAAAAATACCGGTTCCTTTTCATGTCTCGCAAAATGTAAAAATTTTGACTTTCTTCTTTTTGTGTGTGTTCGACTGCGGGTTGCATACTCTGGCCCCTGAAAAATATGAAATATTTCACAGCCTCGTGAAAATTCATGGAATATTTCACGGAAATTTCCAATCTTTCATATGTTTCATTTCACGTGTGCAACCCTGTAGTTAGTCCAACGTTTTCTCCCTTAGTCTATAGAAACCACCTATTCTAACCAATAGGACCCCATACTTCCTTTGTCTTCTTTGTCTATAGCTTTGTCCATCAATTTCGACAACCAGCCAAAAATATAAATTCAGCAAGTATCTAAATCGAACTCGGATTTCATGTAAGTTCTACTGATGTCCCTCCTTCATGCTCTTCATAAATTCTCTCGTGATAAATTTCACTGGGAACGAGACACTTCAATCATCTCATTTGACCAAATGATTGAGATGGATGCAAAATGTATCACACGGTTCAATTTTATAATAAAAGTGTCAACAAATTTCCTAACCTCCAAGTTTCAGCAAATTTTAATCAACCCGGGACTTACACTAATTGCTTAGAGTAAAAATCTGTGGTCAAAATTACGCTTGATTTATGATCCTGAGATGATGATCGCCTTATTCAGATTCTTGAAGTAATCGCTTTCCTGTTTAAAGCATTCGTCCAAATTTTTAAAAAGTGACCGGGAGGGTTTAAATGTTGCTCACTCTCGCCGTAGGGATAAACAGTAATTCATCCGTAGGACTCAATAAGATTAGGTATCCAATATTGTTAAGGCAAAATATACTTATTTAGATTCGCGACGTTGCAGATTTCTTGCCAAATTTTTTTTCTCCGAAGGAAACCCGCCATGAATTATTTCTTGGACAGTTAGTCATCCTATATGAGGAACATTTTTGTGGAAATTTGAAACAAAGTTCACTCATTTCTTCTTGAGAAAAATAAAAGAACAATGGAGAGTTTGAAAGGCACAATCAAGGTAAGTATTTTCTAATTTCACCATCGATATGTAAAGTCGTCCGCAATGGCAAACAATCGACGGCGAAATACTAGACCACGTATCTCGTTTGCAGAGTTTAAAAATCTCTGCTCCCATTTCATTTTTTTGAAGGAGAATTAATCAATATCATTCCTTGAAGTTTTCACAGATTTTTCTTCGCACCGAAATGAAAAACACGGAAGTTTTTAAGAATTGACGATGAGTAGTTTTCCATTCAAAAAATAAAGTACGACAGAAAGTCTGCAACGTTGCAAACCGAGATACGTGATCTGATACTTCCACCATCGAAATATTAATTACTTTTTTTCGAACTTTACACACGAAAACGACGCACCAACGCGTTCGTAACAAAAGTAACTTCTCAGGAACTCGACAATTCAGATCATTTGAGCGCTTCGTAAATTTGCAACTGATTCAAATCCATTCAAAATGCATCACTGTTAAAAAAAACCGTCGTATGGATGAAGTTTCACCGAGAATTAAAGTATCCCCTTCTAAGCTTGTCAAAATGTCAAGGTACCTAGTGGCCCCTCTGCGCAACCAAATACACACGCCAATTGACGATATGCGCTTTTAGCAATGACATGTCGAAACTGAACCACTGAGTGGACTGAGGGTAGTTAGCACAAAAGATGATGCAGCATCATTAACGGCAGACGTTGGGGTAGATTTGAAGATCATGCAGTAATTTACCTACCCTCAGTGTCCGTTTCTCTGTGGTATCGTCTACATCAGTGTATCGCAGGATATCTACGTTAATCGTAGTACTCGTAGTTTTGCGATTTTGCAACCGCTGGACATCCCGACCAACTAACTGTGTATCAAAAATTTCATCGTCTTTTTGAGTCCCAAAGAACACACGATTCTTTTTTTTTAGTTTCTTTCGTGTTTTTCGTGAGACCGGGAAAATCATAAAGTGCCTCGATCGTTATTTTCGTGATCCGTCCCGAGTTATCAGTGCTGGTTTTGTAATTTTTGTTGTTTTTCGGTGCGCGATGCAATGACAGACTGGTAGCCACGCGTTTGAAAGCTTTATCGACTCTCGCCTGAAAGTTCAGCATATTAACGTAAAATCCACGAAGTTTTATGTGTACTCTCGTGACTTGAACAAATTGAACTGTCCCGTGTTGGTGAAAGAACATTCGTAAAATTGCCTCGGTTTTTGATAAAACTTTTGGAGTGTGAAATTTTCCTTATTTCTTCCTTGCACGCGTGTAAGAACTCAATTACCGTTCCTCACGGTAAAGCTCTCGGAACCGAGCAAAGTAAGATTTTTCGTGTCTTACGGAAGAAGCTCTGCCGATATTAGGAGGTGTTTCCGGATTTTGGGTGCAGGGCTAAAAATGAGTGAGCTTCAGTGTCGGTAGGAATTAAACTTTTTCCCGCAAGTCCTTAACTTTTAAAATATACTGGTTCAAAAGACAAAAAACAAAAGAACAGAAAAGAAAACTTACGGTGAAAAATTTCAATGAAATGTTTTCTATAACTAAATATTATAATAAATAATTATTTTTTTTGTCTCATTTGGTTTATTTCTACATTTTAAGAATGCTTGAAAATTCTGGTCTATTTAACATTACTTGTTAAAAAAAAAAAATATACTAAGGTTAGTCAGCAGGTATTTGGTTTTTTTTTTTCGGTGAAACTTTAAATTAAATTTATGCCCATAAATGTTCAAAAAAATCCTGAACCATTAATCAATCTGCATTAAAAGACAACTTACTCACGCACGCGATCCATTCTCCGTCAAAATGATGCCCAAAGTTGGACTTCTAATCATCAGCGAGTGTTTGATACTACTGTGTTTTATACTGCTCCAAACCAACGGTAAGCTGTTTGTAAGTAATTCGTTAAATTCCAGAATGTTCAAGTTTTTATTGTCATTGGTTTTATTATTTTAAACATCACAAATTGATGATGAAACCTAAAAGACTCGTATAATGACTGTCGATGTTGCAGATATTTTAATCTAAATTCATAACATTATTCGTTTTAAAGAACGATCAATTATCGTTCTTGCATGAAATCTCGTTATATTATTCTTTTTGATATTGTCTTAGTTTCTGATTAGGAGAGGGAAAATTTTAAAAATCACCTTGCCGCCTAGCGTTATCAAACTAGACACACGACTGCGAACCAAGCTTTTTAAGTTTATCGGTGGTGACTTTGAGAATCCCTTTAGCTCAATAATGTAGCTCTATGTTTTCCGACTATATTATTTTTAGACTGAAGATGAAATAAGGGTCTTGGAGGACAGGGTGGAAAGTGCGGTTTTCGTTATTTTGAGAAATACGTATTTGAAGTTTCCAAATTACATAGATCCTTAGGGCGGAAAGAAAGCTCAAACTGACTTTTTGATACCATACAATTGGAATTTGGGAGCGAATTCTTCACAGACTATGCAATGCATAAAGATTAGTCTTACTTGAAATCATTAATATCTCAAGTTTTTTAAAAACTGCACTCATACTCCTTGTCCTTCAAGCCCTTTAAATAAAAATTTTTCATTAACTTTCTTCGTTATTTTTCTGACCTCTAACGAAACGAATCAAATTCCATGAATTGGAGAAAAACAATCTTTACCTGAGCTTAATAAAGTACCATTTGACAGAAAGATTCCAACACCAACGACCCAGGGACAGAGATCTCTAGTTTCATCACGAACTCAAGAGGGAGATTGATGTGAATCAGTAATGTGACATTTTAAAATTTCAAAGCTACGGTGCTGATTTTTATATAGGCATGCACAACTGCTTAAAACATTGTTCAAAGTTTTTCAGTCCTCCTTCTATTTACACGAATATGATTAAGTTTTAGACTGTTTCTACCTTGATAAATTAAGGGAAGAGGGGAAAAGCTAAACTTTTTTTCGCCAAGTTTAAGGAAAATAAAAAGACACCCAATGTGTCTCGTCTAGTTGGCGAAACTTGCCGCGCCGCGCCGGCCGGCCGTTGGTGATAATAAATACCTATAAGATCTAAATACAACTATCTGCTCACTTGCTGTCCGTGGTGCATATGCCAAAAAATGAAGGGGCACTCGAATTTTTAAGCAATGCACGGCACGCACTCATGCGCTGTCACATCACAACTTTACAAGTCATCACAAGACATTTCACCAATGAATTGATACTTGACAATGATACTTTAATCGGTTAATAAACGTGGTTTTACTTTTCTGCATGTAAAATGCGTCTTTTTGGATTTTTTAGGATTTTACATAGACTGATTTCCATCCATATCATGCCCAAACATCCAAACATCCCCGATTACTTTAATAACTCTGAGCTGATCATAAAAAATCCTCTTGATGACGTGAAAAACGTAGTTTCAGGACAAAAAACCAAGAAGTACCCCATTCAATTGGACGACATCAACAACGGAACGTTCGATGACCTCTCAAAGGCTAGCCCGGACAGTTGCACGCGGATTTGTGATGACTCGCAACCCCCGAAAGTCTGTTATTATCGTTTCGTCGTAGAGTTCTACGTAACGTTAAGCCAGTAAGTCGCGGTATTCTTAAATGTGTCATAGTTGATAAATCTTGATCATATATTATATTGCTCATATATATTGCTCAATAGTCATGCTTGATTGGGTTCCTTCTGGGAGGAGGCGTAGGGGACGCCCAGTGAGAGGTTGGCGACAGGGGGTGTTAAGTGAGATGAGGGAGTGTCAACTCCCTGATAACCTGTGGGAAGACCGAGCTTTGTGGCGATTAGGTGTCGCAAAGCGCCAAAGAGCGCTATAACAGCGACTCGTATGTATGTATGTATGTCATGGCACTAGAAAATGGATCAAGTTATTTACCAAAGAAACTTTATACCGGATTAATTTCGACGAAAATAAGTGTAAGATTTGATCTTTTCATATTTGAGGGGCTTGGAAGAGAAGGCGCTCAAGTACAGTTTTTGCTATTTTGAGAAATACGCGTAAGAAGATTCGAAATTACATGGATCCTCATGGCGGAAAGAAAGTTCCAACTAACTTTTTGATGCTTAAAAATTGGATTTGAGAGCAAATTTTTCACAAAATATGCACTAGTTTTACTTGAAATCAGTGATATCTCAACTTTTTCAAAAACTGCACTTATGCGACTTGTCCTCCAAGCCCCTCATTTACTTGATTTATTACCTACAGGATGTAATCTTCAGTTGATTCAGTTATATTCTAAGTCTTTACCAATCGTCATTCGATCAATGCGATTTTGATGCACCTACCTAGCTCATCTGAAAATAGATCCGTTTTTCTAAAAAAGTTTTGTTCTTACCTTTTAATTTGGTCCAATTTGACTCTGTTGAGGAGTTGCTGATCAATATAGAAGTAGATTTGATCATCTCTCATTTGAATTTTAAAAAGTGAAGTTAAAGCTCAATTAGACGTATTTCTGCCAGACGGAACCAGAGACAGGTTGCAAAAAAGGGGTGTGTTCGTTAGTCGAGGGTTGTAATAATGAATTGGAATTATAAAGCGCCAGTGACGTCAGCGGTAACGAGGCCGGCGCCATGATCATGAATCATTAACTCATGAGCCCTGTCCACAACACTCTTTACACATGCCCATGGCTCATGAGTGCCACATTCAGTCGGCATATAATTCGTTTGACAGAATGTAAAAAAAAAAAAAAAAAAAAATCTACCTTCCGTTTCCACTGTGGCTGGAAAGCGTTTTTTTACACTGTTTCTTATGCAGCTTTCTGGAGCACACTCCACACCCTATTCTTCCCACACGTCTCTAGTTCCGTTTGGTATAAATACGTCCAATTAATTGACATGGATTCATAGGTCTCAACTTATTGTTAGCGTTGCTTTACAACTGCAATTTTACATGGTTAATTTTTGGGTTTTCGTTTCGTCATCTTTTCGTACAAAAATATTTTATTTAATATAATCCAAAATCGCTCCTGACTGAGGGAGGATTGGTTCTTTCTCCTTAATTCGATCCAAATACGCCCCCTCCCCCTCCCCCATTACGATGATATCAACGGAAAACACACGGGTACCACGCTTGACGACACGAGGAGCAGAAATCATTTTACCAGTGGCGTGGCGTGAATTGCGATATATCGATTGTTATGCCATTTAAACCTATGGTAAAGAATCGATTATTAAGGTGTTCGCTGCGAACACCTTAATAATCACACCCTGTCTATCGATCATTTTCCATAGGTTTAAATGGCATAACAATCGATACATCGCAAAGCACGCCACGCCACTGCATTTTACCTACATTTAAAAGAAATTAGTCCCCAACTCTCAAGCTTTTCGAAAACAAAATCTTCCATGGAAAAACTTTCAGAACACATAAATTCTCCTCAAATAAAGAAAGAGAAAGAAGTTTTCGGTATGCTTAGTAATGACGTTCTAAAATCATGTTTTAAACGATTTAACCCGCCGAATTTTTAATTTATAATATCAGATTTGTACAAATATACTAGTGGCAAATAATTTACCTCTGTTTGTTAGTGCGTGTCAGAAGTGTCCGGGAATCGATCTGGATTGCTTCCTGCCGAAATGTTGTCAAGCTGACGGGTTTGAGAGAGGTATCTTGACTGTCAACAGGCGAATGCCGGGACCCTCTATCCAAGTAAGTATTGTGCTCTAGAACATTTTATATGTATACAATTGATTCCTCCCGTAATTTTATTTTTAACCGTCATTACAACCGCATGAAACTCGATGAATCAAACACGATCAATGAAAAATGCACTGAAAAAAAAGTTAAGGGCTATATAGACGTACAGTCCGTTCCAGGGTCAGAGGCCGAAAGTTCCGGGCGCTGGAGCCGTATAGTTTCGACTGCTCCGGGTGCTACGCCCGGAACGCGGACGGTATATGTCTATACAGCCCGTAAGTACAGCTTCTACAGCCGATTTTTTTTCAGCGATAAAACATTAGGGGTAAACCATAAATTAGGTGGAAAGTTAAAGGGGGGGGGGTGCTTTTCCGATTTCCTGTTACCTGTACGTTCCTAGGGTTGGAGTCAAGAGAAAGGTATTGTCATTTTCGTCGAGAACTTCCCCTAATTTATCGTTTTTTTCAAAATTTCAAGGTTGTATCATGTACATTTTCAGGTGTGCAAAGGCGATACAATCGTTGTTGATGTGAAGAACAGCATGCCTGGGAAATCATTGACCATCCACTGGCACGGAATCAACCAATATGGCACTCCACATATGGACGGTGTGCCCATGATCACCCAATGCCCCATCCTCCCGGGAACCATTTTCCGTTACAAATTCCTCGCTGACACTGAAGGCACTTACTTTTGGCACTCACATGACGGTAAGATTACTGATATTTCATAGAAGCGTGCAGAAATGAAACTGCCGATAGAAATTCAGATTAGAGAGAGAACCACTTAGATCAGTTACATATTTCGTTCTCTGTAATATAAAATCATAAGAGGAACGCGTCACGCATTTCGCCTGAGGCGCGAAGCGCTGCAGGGGGTTGGACCGAGAAGCGGTCAGGCGGTATAATCCGTAGTAGAGGGTATGATATTGCAGTGTAACACGACGCTATTATTCTTTATTTATAACCACGAGCGGGCCTTGCAACAAGCCTGTGGGAAAGCGAAGCCAAAACGCCTTCAATGATTTGTGTATGCAACACGGATATCCACTAAGCACGAATAGTTGTATCCCGGCGCCGTTGCGCGTTGTCATTGCCATCGAGCTGCATGCATTCGCCAAGTCGCCATTCAGGACTTCAGAGGAAGGCAATTACTGTGTGTTAATCAAACAAAATGATCTCTCCTTCTATTACAAAAGTATGTTATGTTTTAGTGCTTGAATTGAATTGTATAAAATGACAAGGAATCGTAAAATTTGTTCGGATTCTTAGTCCCTGTGCCTCGTTGTAAATGTTTGCTTTTTGACGGATTTCATCTCACGCTATATTGGCGTATACCATTATTTGGACGTATTTCTACCAAACGGAACTATGTGCACTATGACGGGAGTCCTGTTACGCATATATTCTTATGGGTCTCAGGGCTCACGTCTGAATGCACACAGTTCCGTTTGGCATAAACACGTCCATTATATTTGTTTCGTCTAATCAGACATTCAAGGGAGGCGAGTCTACTCATGATTAATTCATACTGTTATAAAAAGTGATACTCAATTTGGCCTTTAAAAAAATAAGGCACATGACGACATCCAGGAGGACTTTTATACATCGACATTTGGACCGCTTTAAGCAGAGAGGGACCAAGCAACATCAGCTATTGCCAAATTTAACTGGGCAATTTAATTTTTTACATAAGAACGGATGTGCAAATTGTTTTGCAAGCAGTGAATTTTCTACATACTACGAAGCAAATTCCTCAAAATTTTCCCTAAAAAAGCCGCAGAAACGCTCTCTTGTAAAAAAGTAAATTGCTCCGTTAAATTTGGCGAAAGCTAAAGTGGCTTGTTTCTTTTCTGCTCAGCGTGATCCATTTAGAGGCAAATAGAATGATAATGAGCATCAGAACACGAAGAGGGTATCGAGTTTGTGGGCGTCGTTAGTTTTTCTTCAATTTTCAAGGTCATCGTGTCTTTTCCTTTTCTTCCGGGTACATTGAGATGGACGTGTTGTGTCGCAGGTACCTCGAAGATGGATGGGCTGCTGGGGAGCCTGGTGGTTCGGCAGCCGAAGAAGAAGGACCCGAATTGGGAGCTGTACGACGATGATCTGCCGAGTCACGTGATCTTGTTCCAGGACTGGATGCACCTCGACTCCGATCAGCATTTTCCGGGTCTCCGCCAACATGACATCGCCCAGTCCCCCGACAACTACCTCGTCAACGGGAGAGGCAACTATCCGGTGAGTCATTGAGCCTACTACCGTGATAGCGAAGAGAGCCGTAAGTGCAAAAATGAAGTTTTGAGAAAACGGGCTCAGAAGCTTCTGACAAGAACATTTTATTGAAAGAAACCTCCGTTCTTTGACAAATTGCCACTAATCGTCCTGAAGACTCCTAGAAATCGTATGGAGCACTGCGTCAACTCCATGAGACAAAATTTACTAAAACTCTCTACACATCTTTGGTGTAACAGGACTTAATTATCTTTCAAGAAATGCCCACCTTCTTATACCTGAACCGGATAAACCTCTATATTTGCCTCAGCTAAAGGCTCTTAGATTTTTCCAGTGTGCGATTAGTATCTTGATTTATTTTGCGAGGAAAGATCTGTACTTTTAAAGGATGCCTGCCATTCTTAATACGTTCAATTTTGTATAATACTGTGCAACACCTCTGTTGTGAAATAGTTATTTCAGGCGCCGCCGCACGGCGCGGCGGGCGGGCGGCCAGCGCGAAACGCGCATTGGCGCCTACGAACCTAAGTGGATACTTCAAGCATTGTGCAATGCGTGAAGTATCCACGTAGGTTTGTAGGCGCCAGTGAGCCTCTCGCGCTGGCGGTACGCCGCTCCGTTCTGTTCGGCTTTAATATTTATACTCGCATAGTCAGCGTTTTTTAACTCATGATTTTGAAATTTTTGCACACTTTGCATTGATTATTCTCATTTAAATTGACGGGGAAAAAATATGTATCAATTTATCAAAGGAGAATAATAATATAATGTGTGTTTTTTTAAATATTGGTGGTTTCGTGCCAAATTTAATAATTTCCAAAGCACTTTACTTTTTTCTTTTACATCGTGTGCTTATATTGTGCTGCAGCGAGGTGTACGCGCAACCAAACGCTCAAAATTTGACGTATTTGACTTTAAAAGATCGATGTACAAATGGGTTAAAACTAAAGATTGCGTGCTTCTTGGTTTTTCTTCCTCTTTTATTCATTTTTGCAGTTTCTGTTGGCACGACTGCGGCTCATTGAGATTAATGTCGCTTGGAAAAGGTTTTACAAATATGTGTCTCGTTTTAAAAATATAAATGTTTTCAAAATGAAGTAATAATTTCGTAGAGAAAAAATTAAAAAAATAAAAAAAAAAGTACCTATACATATATAAGGTATATTGTGCATCGAATATTTTAAGGATAGAAATAAAACCAAATATTCACCGATGACAATTTATAAAGATGATTCAAAAGGAGAAAGTAACAACATATCATTTAGAAAATGAGCAACCATAACAACACCTCCTTCTCTCTCAATTTCTCATTTCCATATTGTCAATATAATTTTACATACCGACTAAAATATAACGCTTGTACCAAATCCCCGTTGCTTATTTTACGTGTGGGCGTTCAATACTGGACAAAAGAGGTGCGCGGACAAAAAATCGTTGACAAAATGTCCTGAAACCCTACGTCCCATGTTAAAGAACGTTGAGCACCCCGCACCCTCCCCCCACCTACTTAATAATTATATAAAAATTTTCGTCGAATGACCAAATATATAGTTAAATTGACCGTTGGTTACTTTGAGACGTCTGGGGAACGAGGAAAGTGTCCTGCTAAACTTAATTACTCTTTTCTCCAAGTATCACTCATGGGTTGCGACTTGCGCTTGATTTTTTAGGAGGTTGCGAATTTTCAACCCATAACTTTAGCCGATGTATTAAATATTAACTTCAGGTTGCTTTGTATTCTACCTTGCATATCATCACAATATGTTGGTTAATTTTTTTACTGGGTGTCTTTTGGTTCCAGAAATTATTCGCGGCGACTAATACGCCGTTCGCGCAGTTCGACGTGGCGCAGGGGCGGAGGTACCGCTTTCGGCTCATCGCTGGGACGTGCCTCTCTTGCGCCTTTCAGGTGACCATCGAGAATCACCCGATGCTTCTCATCGCCACGGAGACCAGCGCTATCGAGCCCGTCCAAATCAACTCCGTCAACATGTGGGCCGGTAAGCTATGTCTCCATCAGACTAGAGTCCCTTTTAGTACGGTGGGTACAATCGAATAATGGCCAAAACCCTGCACTTTTTGATTGGATTTTGCCGCTTTCAGGGATCATTCTTATGGTCATTGGAAGCCCTTTTAGAAGGGGAAGCACTCTGGGGTCCGCGCAGGAACCAAGATGGCGGTCGTTAAAGATGGCCGCCAAGCGTTTTTTCAGCGCGCCATATCTCGGAAACTACGCGTCCGATTTTCGTTTTCTTGATCTCATCTTGAAGCTAAAATGCTTCTACAGAAATCTATCTCATGAATTTTGCCTAAGGCATAGTGAATGGTCATTAGAAAATTTTGAAATTTTGAAATTTCAACCAATTTTCAAGAGCACAGAGAGAGAGTCGAGACTACGCGGCTTATGGATGTCACAAACGGGGATAAAGATTACACAAATCGGACGTTTTTTGTAATCTTCGATCAACCCATTTCCGAATTCCTATCTCCGCCCCCTCTCTCATTCTATTTGTTCCTTGCCATACCCCCGATTCCTCGGTCCATTCCAGTCTATAATCTTTGCAATTGATGAAAATGTAATGTTTATTCCTTTTTGCGACACTATGAAGGTCTAAAATACGGGAACCAATCAGAAATGGATTCGCTTTGTTTTTATACTCTCAGTACAAAGGGACCCCTTACAGACCATGTGATCATGTGACCGTATGACCATCATTCAAAACGCACGCCACTAACACAGGCGGGAACACTGGAAAAAATCTCAGTAGGCCGGTCGATATTTAAGGTGGTTCGTCCCGGCTCCTGGCTTAGTCAAACTAGCGTGCGTATATCAAATTGATTAAGCAAAACATCTCGATTGATTATGAATATTAAGCGCTAAAAAAAGAACGATAGCCCCTGCGCATGAGCGCAAAATGAATGATTCGTAACCAAAAAGTTGGCAAAATTTGGACCCTTTTTGAAGAAAATCTCGCATTCGGTATAGAAGTCGATTATTCGAGGAAGGTATCGAATGCGAGGTTTATTTCCAGAGAGGATCCTGCTTTCTTATCTTCAAATCTTGCTACATTTTTGTTTGAGAATAATTAATTTTACGCTCATACGTGCTCAGCTTGTATGAACATTCATTGTTCATACAAGAAATAAACCCACCAATGAATCATATGAACCAAAATTAACTAAAGGATATGAGTGTAATTTAGCGAAACGAGGGTTTGAAAGTGACCTCTATTTTTCTAACCGTGCGTTAAAGTCTCTTAGGAATTTTTGTACAAAACAGTCACCGACACGAGTTCTAAAAAAGGCCGGATCGGTTTGAAACTTTACAGAAATTTTATTTCATGTATTGGCACCTATTAGAAACTGGTGACCTGAACTTTTCCAACATTATTTAGCATATCGTACAAAGAAGCCACACAGTAGGTCTTCAGGCACGTATGGAGTCTTTGAACAGAGAAATGGACAATGACATTTTTTTTTTCTCCATGATGGTCACTTAAGATCACTGAAAGAGCGGGTATATTCGATGATGACAATATAAGACATCATCGGCGTGGAGTGCTTTTTAGCTTGATATTCATGCACTTTATTTTCGTGTTAACAGGTGACCGTTACGATGTTGTTATAAACGCTGACAAGCGACCGAATGCCTATTGGATCTTCGTTCGGGGCCTGGGTCTTTGCAGTCAAGTGACCCAAGTTGCCGTGCTGAAGTACAAGTCATGGCCTCTTCTTTTGCCGCTCACCAACCGCCCTCCATTTTTTGGACTTGATAGTGGAGTGGTAAGATGCTCGTTTATTTTATCGCATTGACCAGGCAATGGTCTGGTAAACAAGGCCAGAACCAAGAATGTGTTAACCCAGTAGCCGCATGGTGATTCTATATGTTTAACAGCTATTTGGACTGGACCAGATTGGCCGAAGCCTATCTAACCAGCGTAAAATATCATATTGAACTTGTCTAATTCAGATTAAATGACGTTATAGAATGATTCTTTCTGTTCTTAACCGTTTACCTGATAGATGAACAATGAACATGCAAAACAACATGCAACATGCAAAAGCAAGTAGTAAAGAGCAAAGCATAAGAGCAAGGAGACCATTGTTTTTTATGGGTGAATTCAAAAATCAATTATTTTTGTAATTTTCGCTGGGAAATCGTGTTCTCCTCAAATTTTTGGCCAAGAAACTTGAGTCTTCATAATGCTTAAATTCGTACTTTGTCGGTTCGTCCATTGTTATTGATTTCTTATCTCAATTTATTTATTCATACTTATCGTCTTTTTCCTATTGTTTTATCTACTTACTTATCGGTTTATTCATGCGTTGCTTTTTTGCATTTTCAACCGTGCGGAGATGGGATTAACTCACGGAGAAAAAACGTGGTTTTGATCAATGATAATGGTACTACCAGTAATATGCAATTAAGGTGTATTATAAAGATACTAATGTTCGAGCTCTTGGGTAGTGCGGGATGTTTAGGCGGATTTGAAGGCGATTTATGCCTGCACAATTCACTGATTTTTAAAGGGTTATTCCTAATTGCATTTTTGTTTGAGACGACAGTGATGAAGAGAGGTATGCGAGCTTAGGAAGTTACTCGTGATTTTGCGGGAATTGTGTTGAGAACTGAAATATTATTCGAGCAGAAGACTCATCTTTAAATGGAGGACATTACGAAATGAGATAAGGTGTATTCAGTTTTTTAAAAAAATTGCTGTCAAGACTTCACTTTTGGATTATGAAATGCCAATTGCGCATTTTTTTGCTGCCATATCACTTCTATAATCTATCTGAAAGTTTTGGATTCGTTGTTGAAATTTCAACTTTCTGTTACGATTCAATGCCTATATTATCAAAATTTCAATTTGAGCTGGAAATGTTACAGGTTCTAGGTCCGGATAATTCGGCTTGTAATTCGACCGCAGAAGGAATTTGTGTGAGTATGTTGCGTGCGAAGAAACCGATGAACGAACAACTCCTCGCCATTAACCCAACGATGAGACTCCTCCTCACTTTCGGATTTCACCTTCTGACCCTTGATGAAGCGTTTTACCGGAATAAATATCCAAGATATTTCAGTACGTTCCTCACTTTACCTCCTCTTGAATCACTTATTGCTATCGTTATCTCCCCCGAGTTTCATCTCTGAGTTGTCACATACACAAGTCTCATATATTTTCTCAGAATTTGCCTCGCACAGAGATGAATAATCATGGAGGTTTTTTAGAATTAACGTTTAAAAGGACCGAGTTAAACAGAAAGGAACCAAGCCACATCAGCTATTGCCAAATTTAATCGGGCAATTTAATTTTTTACATGAAAACGGTTGTTCGGATTTTTGTGCAAATTTCCATGAATTTTCTCCATAATACAAAGCAAATTCTGTAAAATTCTCAAAGAAATCCGCACGAACGTTCTCTCGTAAAAAATCAAATTCCCCTGTTAAATTTGGCAGTAGCTGATGGGGCTTGGTTCCTTTCTGTTAAACTCGGTCCAAAAAATCAAGCATAACAGGAAGTCTGCAGCGTCGCAAACTAAGATACGTGGTCTGGTAGTTTTACCATCGATATCCGTCTGCATCCCGTTCTCTCTATACCGATTTACCTCGTCCTAAATCGAAGTCTAGCTATTAATCTCGTTTTATCCCGATACACCGGGTTGCACTGGAAAAGAAAGTCGCTTGGATCTAGAGTCTAGACTCTTAATAGCGTTGACAAGAAAAACTCTCTTGATTCAATCCGATTTTTCCTTGGATCGAAGAGCCGAGCCTCTTCATTTAGGCGGATTCCCTCTTGATTCAAGCAAAAAGTCCGATTGAATCAAGAGTATATTTTCTTGTCAATGTTTTTAAGAGTCTGGACGCTAGATCCAAGCGAATTTTTTTTCAGTGTGTCTCGATTTTTTACGCAGATGCCAATTAGTTATTACTTGATCTTGGTTTAGAAATTTACCACATCACATGGATTGCATTTTGCAAAAAGGAACCACTAGCATTGCAATGTAGCTAAACTTGTGCAACGTCTTTTGTCTTGGAGGACAACCCCGATTATCCCGTAATAGTTTCTATTTTACTTGCTAAAAACTGTAAATTTAAGACAAAAATTACCATCTAAATTTCATAGTTTTTCACAATTTCCGCAATTTTATTGCAAAGGATGAAGTTGCACAACCGAAATGGACTTTTGGCGAAGGTCTGCAGGGATCTCGCGGAGAGAGCGCGTTCGTAATGAACGAGTGCGTGAAATAATGGGAGTTGAGGAAGATATTGTGCACGATGTCAAAACCAAGCAGCTGGTTTGGTATGGACATGTGCGGAGAATGGCAGATAGTAGGTTGCCCAGAAAGGTATTTGATTGGGTTCCTCCCGGAAGAGGGCGGCGTGGACGTCCAGTAATAGGTTGGCGAGAGGGAGTGGAGGGGGAGATCAGACGGTGTAATCTGCCCGATGATTTGTGGGAGGATCGATTCCGATGGCGATTTGGAGTCGCAGAGCGCTCTAGTGCGCTGAGGTAGCGGCTTTATATGTATGTATGAAGTTGCACAATCTTAGCATCATTGCAATGCTAGTGGTTCCTTTTTGCAAAATGCAATCCACATAGAGATAAACAAACCATTAGTTCGTAGTAGTTACGTTCTATTCAGACGAAATATGAAAAGAGAATAAATATAGATTGACTGTGTTTTCGGTTTATTGTTCAGCTCCACCAACGGGAACGCTGACGACAGCATGGATCAACAACATTTCGAACATTGAGCCGATGGCGCCGCTCCTGACGCAGCTGGACGATGTGCCACTGAAAATGTTCTGCTCGCAAAAGTGCCTCTCACCCCCCGTCAACGCCACCCCTTGCTACTGCATTAATCTCATCAAAGTCCCGCTTGGAGCCACTGTCGAGCTCATCCTCATCGATCCTTGTAAGTGGCATTTTTTCCAGTTTCTGCTCAATGTTTCGGTCGCTTAAGTCTATCTATCCATCATTAAGAATGTAATTGAAAAAATAGTGAGTCCGTGAGGGGGGAAAATATTCAGCCATGCCTTTCACAAAATTAGAGGTGCAAATGGATTACATTTTGCAATAAAGAACCACTATTTCTGGCTCATTTTAGAAACAACATATTTATCATTGATTTCTCTATGCAGATACATGCTTTTATGGAAGAGCCAGAGATAGTGGTTCCTTTTTGCATAATATAATCCAAATGTATCAGAGGAGGAGGGAAGTGAGCAGAGCCGGATTCAGAGCAAGTGCAACAAGTGCATCTCCGCCGGTCGGCATATTTATCGATTTTTTTTTATGGTTCCGTTTTTTCTGTCTTAAAGTAATGTGCACGTAACAAATTATCCGTTTTTAGGGGAGGGGGTAAAAAAGTGTATGCACTGGGCGCAAAAAACCTGAATCCGGCTCCAGAAATGGGTATGAAACAAAGTTAAAGCTATTTGCCTTGCGTGAAGATTGTTTTCATAATGGCACATACGATGTTTCTCAAGTGAGCTGGAAATTGTAGTTCCTAATTGGAAAATGCTGTCCTAAAATTTGACCTACGTCAACTACGGATTTTTCACGGGCGGGAAAGTTGAATCTAGTGTTTATAACGTAGAACTCAAAAGTCGATTTCTCACTTATTAGTTAATTTTGGAAGTTTTCGGTATGTTTGTCATGTTTTGCGACAAATTTTTGGAAAGAGACATAGTCTCTAGAGGTCTCACTCTAACCTTGTCTCGGGACCCAGGAGTGTCTATTTTTACGGTCTTCAAAATCAGTGAAGCATTGGATGTAATAAGCTTGATTTATTTGAATTTCAGCGCCTTTAAATCTGAACTTAAATCATCCGATGCATTTCCACGGGTTCAACTTCCATATCCTGGCCCAAGGCAAGTTCAACCCAAACCAGGACTTGAACCCCCAGATCAAGAGCCTCCAAAGAAAGCTCCTCGACGGAGCGTTCCTCAAGCCAAATCCTCCCTTGAAAGATGTGATTAGCGTTCCTTCTTTCGGCTATGTAGTTCTCAGGTTCCTTGCCGACAATCCAGGTGTGTGTATTCCTAATTATTATTGATTTTATTCTGAGTTATCAGAATCTCACCCCCATTCGATAATTATTTACATCATCGAGGAAAAACAGAGATGGAATAATTTTTGACAACTTGATCGAAAAATTGAGAGAATGTAAAATAAAAAGAATCAGCAACCAGATGCGTGATATGCATTATTTTCATTTTTGGAAATAAAGTGAAGGATCCAGTGCATGAACATTAAATGACATTTTTAAATGTTTCACATTGACCATTGTGAGCTCTGCAAGTTTTCGTCTCTTAAAGTGGAACGTATAGAAATTCAAAACATTACTAAATACGGATGATAGGACTTAGTGAGTTTTTGGACTACCGTTCTCTTTTTTTGCCGTAGTATCTTGATTTATTTTGCAAGAAAAGCTCCGTACTTTTGAAGGATGCCTGTCATTCTTAATATATTGGAGCGCCTTCAATTTCGTATGATACTGTGCAATACCTCTAGTGTGAAATAGTTGCTTCAGGCGCCGTGGCACGGTGCGGCGGCGCGGCGCGGCAGTGGCGGCAGGCGGGCAGCCAGCGCGAAACGCGCATTGGCGCCTACAAACCTAACAGGGATACTTCACGCATTGCCCAATGCGTGCAGTATCCCTGTTAGGTTTGTAGGCGCCCGTGCGTTGCCGCTCCGCTTTGTGTTGGGCTCTAATATTTAATCTCGCGGAGTCAGCGTTTTTCAATTCCTGATTTTGAAATGTTTGCACACTCTGTATGGATTATTCTCATTTTAATTGATGAAAAAATATGTATTAAAGGAAAATATATTGTGTGTTTTGTAAATATTAAGGTGGTTCCTTACCAAACTTAATGGTTTTCAAAGCACACACATTTCTACACAATTTCTTATATCCTTTTATAGCAGATGGCGATGAAGTTTACAGCCCGGCGATAGGAATTATAGCCCGGCTGTATGATTTTTTATCGCTTCGCACAGCCCGGCTGTATGATTTTCTCCGCTATCTACAGCCAGCTATATGATTTTCTAATGCCTTCTTTAGCCGGCTATAAGAATTCCTATGGTATTTTGAAACGCAGCTCCTATCGCCAATTTTTACCAGGGGGATCTGAGCTCCCTCACAAAATACACCAAACTTTGATTTATAACACCTCCGCGAAGAAATTTTTGGTTTGAATCAATATTTACATCAGAACGATTAAAAAATGGCCCTAAAAACCGGCGTCGCCTCACACCAAGTTTTGCGTAAAACTAGGCAGTTCTAGACCCCATTCTTCCTATCACGTAGGTCACGCAGGTTACGCGTGGTCGTTACGCTGGTTATAGTATACCGAGTATACCCGTTCCCCAGCACTATGAACCTAGTTTAGTTAGTTAGTATTATTAGTATAATTTTACTAACCTCAAGTTAAGTCTCTGGTCTCAATGTTAGGTATAGCTCGTCGGAGGCAGATGAACTGTCACAATTATTTTCAATACCTGTAATTTTAGGCACCATAGTTTTCATGGACTTGCATTAATCCGCTCCTTCATATATCTCCTCTTAGGTGTCTGGTTTTTCCACTGCCACTTCTTATACCATCACTTAAGTGGGATGAGTGCCACTCTCCAAATTGGCGAACCTGAAGACTTCCCACCAGCTCCGAAGAAATTCCCAAGATGTGGAGATTTCCTGCCACCGATAAGTGACAGTAATAATTACTGACCTAAACTAATCAGGATCAGATTAGATCCCACATTTAGCGCATTGCCTTTTCTCTTACAAATTGCCACTGTATTCACGGTAAATTCAATTTCAATGAAACATATTTTCAAAGCGAATATTTTGGGAAAAATCGAGTGGGTTTGGACTTATTTCCAAATTCACTCTTTGTACCCTTAATTAGTGGTGAGAAGTATTTAAGAAAGAGAAAAAAATTAGAATTAAACATTTTTGAAATTAAACGCAATTCGCGAGTAATAAGTAACAGGCAAGTAGGTATAAATTCTCAAGGCCCTCGGTGATTAAATATTGTAATGCTACTTTTCGCGATCTTCGTAAGTATAGCATTGGTTTCTTCGGCCCCCTCTTTTTAGATACATTTTGCTTTCGCTGACTATTTGCGTTTTGCCGGTTACCTCTGAATTATTTTTACCATTTATAATTGTAGTTTTTGCTATAATAGTATATAGATTATACACGTGTAAATACTTTTTTTGTTAACTAAATGTTGTTTATAATTTTTCAAAAGAATCTCTTCGATGTTTGTAAATAAGTATGATAAACAAAAATAAATGAATCTCAGAATATGAATAACTATTTTTTTGCATCGATATTTTTTCAGTGGTGCTTTTCTTCAAGTTCGTAACCCCCCTCCCTCTTTTATTTGAGATTGTGTGAGACGGCTCATCGTCCGTTAAAGGGCCAAAAACCACAAAAAACAATTAGAGGATCTCGGATAAACTCACACTTCACACAGCAGATGGAATTTCTGTTATGTACTCAAAAACAAGTCGCACAGAGTGTAGATTCACGATTTGGAATTTTTCAAATATAGCAGGCTATTTACCTCAAAGCTTTGAATCAAAATTGTGATTTTAATAATTGCATTAATCACGCCGATTGCTCATACTGTCAGTTTTGCTGTCAATGTAGACCTACGTACCTGCATCTACTCATGGTTCATTGATTCGATCAATGTGATGATGCAATTAAAATCGTATCTGATGAGGACGCAAAAATTCTATTGTATTATTGCGTCACTCACAATTTCTGAAAAAGTTGAAATGCTATGTGCATCTTTGCTAATACTGGCAATATTTTGTATGCTCTGTGCCGTCGAATAGCTCCCGACTGTCCCTCAGCCTCTAATCACTTCATCGTTTATCTGATGGCTGATAAAGAAGTTTTTTCTTTAATACAGTCACTGTAAATTAAACCAATGAGGTTTGTTCTTTGCAACTTCATATTCATTGACAGATTAGGGGCGCTCAATAAAAAATTAGTAAATCCGTGAGTCTCGGAGGGTCACCTCCTCCTATTCGCGCCATTCCGTGGCTTCAGTCGATCCATGAATGTTTGAGCAAAATTTTGAATACAGATCGGAAAATTCAGAGAATTGTGTAGTGATATCGTTTATTTCAGCTTTCATCATAGACACGACATTTTTCCGAGTTTTTGAAGAATTTAACAAAAAAAAAAAATATCCAAAGTTCGGAATAATTGAATTATTTTCCCGGTAGTGCAAGGTTACGTAAGATGTTTTCCATACCTAGAAAAAGTGGCTCCTACAAGAATTATCTCACGACAAATTCTCTCAGTTTTTATAGCCATCGAATCTACAAAATGATCAGTTGGAGAGAATCTCCCTAATTTGACACTCACTCCGCATTCTCAGGGTAAACGAAAAGTTCATCTTTTAGTATGAGTGATAATCATATAATTTCAATTGAGGAGCCACCAGTAGGTTTTTTGTATTTACTAGAATGATTCGTGAATTATCACTGAGCATTTATTTTATGCATATTGTAATAGCGCAAAACGACGTATTTAATTTAACAATAATTCACTTCAATGATTTCCATGCTAAATTTGAAGCCGTTAACGCAAGAACATCGGACGACTGTAAGAAAGACCGGAATGAGACATGCGTAGGTAAGCACGAAGTACGTAGTTACCTTAATAATTTGAAAGAAATCAAGAAAAAGTGGCCATTTTAAATCACCTGAAATGAGCCCAGTACTTCCTAAACTGACCATTGACAATTACGTTACTTGGAAAACATTCATACGAAAAAATATTAAGGATACAGATTCAGAAATGAGAGCGCTTTTGGACCACTTCTGACTTTACGGATCAATAGATCAATAAGTGCACATTTTTGCAGTCTTATTGAATTATTCTCTGGCTGACCACAACTATTCTTATAACGACGACCAAAATTACCTGGAGAAAACGAGACATCCAGCACATATCCATCTGCGAGATAGTTATTTATCACATGTGCTAAAAACACTTTCCATTCACAAAACATTTTCTGCTGCATTCAGTCTGTTTTAGATTCCTAGATTTTTTACCGGCATTAGGCACTTTTTGAAACAAACAGTTCAATTAAAAACTCATTGAAACGCTCGAGATACAAGCCTGATTTTTTCATAAGTAAATTATGAAGAGCTTTTATAAGAAATACAACGTAAATTTCAGGTGGTTTCGCACGCCTGTACACACTCAGCAGGTGGCTGAAACGAGAGAATCCGAGTGCATTACTATTGAATGCCGGCGATGTTTTTACTGGGAGCTTTTGGTATAGACTTTTCAAAGGGAACGTGACATCATACTTTATGAACAAATTGCCAGTTGATGCCATGGTAAGTACTTCCCCAAATATCCGCACCTTCTACATCGAGAAAATTGGTTTCATATGCCTTTTTGATATGCGGAGGGCGACTTTCATTTCACTTGATTATCAGTCGTATTGTAAGCAATCTTTTCACGATTGAGGCTCGAAAACAACACAATTTATTAACAGTTCAATGTTTTGATCGTAATGTTGCGCAATACCTAAGTCATTCAAATTAACTTTTAGTGGGTACTTTTTGTTAATTATCGTATTATTCCCCATGACTCAACTGTAGAAACTTCTAGTTGTTGCAAGTTACGAGAGAATATTAATCTCCGGATGAAATCAAGACAATGAGCAACGTTATATGCACTAACTTAGTGAAGGCTACACAGTGTGGAATGATATTTTTTAAACAGCTGTACTTAGGTTTTTAGGGCATGATAAGTTTTTCTGGTAGCATGCTAGGCCTTTCTTATACAAGGATCTCAATGCTCCAGTTTTTAAAGATTTTTCACTTAAGTGTTATGAGTAAAGGTATACGCACTTTTGCAATCTACACGCAAAAACATAAGTTATGACTCGCTTCCCTCGCTCCCTATCCCTTCTCCCTTTCCAATCTACATGCGGAAACATACGTTGGTAAGTGCTTCTTTTTTTCCCTCGCTCCCTCCTCCCCCTCTCTTTACCCCCTCTCTCCTCCCCCTGTCTTTCTTTCCAACTTTTGGCAAATCGATACATTTTTGCAATGGGCCTCCCGATAGTCGTGATAAGATGGAATAACATCTTCTTCACTCTGATAAGCAATCAGTATTAATCTTACATGTTTATGTGAGGCTATATATTGTGGTTTAGTTAATTCAATATACATTTGATACAATTTGGAAATGGACAAAAATTAACCCTACACTTTTTCATATTTCGCAGACGATAGGCAATCATGAGTTCGACGATAGGATAGATGAAGTAGTGAATTATTTGAGTCGCTTAAAACTACCAGTGTTGGTTGCTAACATAAACTCCACGGAGGAACCCACTTTAACACCCTACGTTAAAAAATCTGCGATTTACGAAGTTGATGGCAAAAAGGTTGGGATCATCGGTTTTGTCACGAAAATGTTTCGAGTAAGTGTGTTCAACTCTATTCTACTAAGGTAGAAACTCGAATTTGTCCAAATCTACCATACTTTTCCTACACTTTTTCCATTCGGACAACCTCTTTTAGAAGGAGATATTTCGAATTAAAGTTTATAGACTTACGTCATTATTGGCTGCAACTCATCTTTGCTTGGAGCTCTTTGTGGGTGATTTTAGACCAAGCCTGCAATAAAAGTAAACCGGGAGAGTAAATTATAGTAGGGGCAATTTAGAATGGGATGTAAGAGTAGATTATAAGTGACAGGAATTTATAAAAGAAAGTTTAGCTCGGAACGTTTATTAATGCTGAAATTGATTTTGCTCTTTTCATTCGACTCCAGAGAATCATACCGCATTCTATGAGCACTTATATTTGTATTTACATACATATTCTGCAAAGTTATCCCACGTTTTCAGGATGGGAATATATAGATCTCCCTGCTCTCACAGTACTTACACTTTGTTCAGAGGCATTTTTGTTTGGATTGAATTCTAAGGAAATAGCCTCGGTGGGGAGACTGAAAATAGAGGACGAGGTTTCAACGGTAAATGCGGAGGCAAAATCACTGCGAGCGCTGGGTGCAGAAATTTTGATAGGGCTCTCACATGCTGGCTTCAGCGAAGACAAGCGGATCGGCAAATCCATCGACGTTGATGTCATAGTTGGCGGTCATTCGCATACTTTGTTGTACACCGGTAAGTGATACAAGTGGTCATTAGCATAACACTTGCAGTGTCACACACACATAGTTCAGTATGCGTTCGCAGGAAAAGGGGACTCCGTCCACGAAGAAAAATTTTCGAGCAAAGCGAGTTTTGTTGAGTTCTGTAAAAAAATCGGATTTTGAAATTTTCATCAGCAATTTTTCTGAAGCCTGATGATGAAATTTCGTACGGTGTAATAATTTTCGGGCGAATTTTTTACAAGGCGTAAAGTTGTGTTATGCCACGGAAAAAAATCTTTGGTGCTTATAGCCAGATAGTAGGTGACATTTACCATCTTGGATTCCCAGATTCGACCCCTGAGAACAATTTTGCTACGAGAACAAGTGTAGTGTGCGAGTGCTAGTGTATCAATCATGAAAGCAAGGAGAACCTAATATTTTTCGTTTTTAGCCATAAATAGGAGTATTTTCATGTGAAACGTACAGCTAAAAAAATTGAATACAAAGGTGTGAAATGTCGGGGTTCGCAGCTAGGGGATGGTGAAAAAGGGTTAATTGCGTAAATAAATTTCGAAATCGAGTAAAATGAGACTACGGTACTTATTATGAGGTGCTGCGGTTGTATCCGACCTATCAAATTTTTTTGCCTATCGCAGGGATTGAACCTGGGACCTACCTAACCCTAGCCGAAGACCCTAACGATTGAGGTATACAGTATGATGAGAATCTTGACCGAAAAACCTGTACATAGCTTCGATTTGAACCGAAAACCAGGATATTCAATCTACATACTTAGATTGGTTCATTCATTTTTCTAATTTTTGTATTTCATTTTATTTTTTAACGTTATTTCAGTTCTTTACTTTATTTTATTTCGTTACTTCATTTTAAATTTTTTACTTTATTTTTTTTCTTTACGTAATATAATTTTTCTTTGATTATTTCTTTTTTATTTATTTACTTTATTTTAATTTTTTTTCCTTTGTTTCTTCACTTAATTTTAATGTTTTACTTTCTTGTTTTTTCTTTACTTAATATTATTTTACTCTGATTATTTATTCTTTATTTCTTCCCTGTATTTTACCGTTACTTAGTTTACTTTATTTCTTGCAATTTTTTATTTTTTTACTTTAATTCAGTCACTTCATTTTAATTTTTATACTTCATTAAATATCTCTTCGTTGTTATTTATAACTACATTTTATTTCTCTATTTTTTCTTTTTTTCTTTTCGTGTTGAGAATCAATTCAAATTTTTCAAACTAGGATTATTTTTATGATTGGCTAAAGTGCTTCTAGCATTGGACAAATAAGCCCAGGCTACTTACTTGAACAAGTGAGATTATGTAGAATAGAAAATAAAAAAATTATCCCTCTAAAGTACTGAAGCCTTGACATGGTGTTAAATATAGTGCATGCCTAGCCTACTGGTAAACCTGGGATGTTTAGCTTAACGACATCATACAATTGACAAGAAACATTATTAGTAACGATTGATAAATATCTGCCATTTCCTTGGAATTTTGAATGTAGAAAAAAATTGATTTTGAAAACTATTATTAGTACCAGGGGCCTTTGGCCGCTACGCTGCCGACAACCGATGCGGAAGAAAACAATATACGTGAAAAGTCGTAGAACAACCGTGTTCAAGTTATCTCGGAGATTAATGGATTCAAATACCGTCAATGTTTTATTTTTGATCAATGTTTTTAAAAGAATACACACTGTTTTTCTAATGAGTTTCCGCAAATTTTCCTGAGTGATTTAAAATAGATAAAAGAAAATTTGACTTAAAACGCATAACATCCGAAATCTAAGCTCAGATTCGGCTTCCTCGTGAAAAATCGATGCTATTTCATGTATCATATGTCACCACATCATGAGGGAAAGAGATTAACGTAGGCGTGTAGATTCTAACATATCAGTCCGACGTGGCAACATGGGTGATTCGGAGTGGGTCAGCTGATAAGTAAGAAGAAGTTTGTTTTCTCGGAAACGGACGAACCAAATGCTTGGCGCCTGGCGCCTGGCGGCGTAGCTCAAACGTTTGAATTCTGTGCCTACTTCCGCATACCGGGCGGCTTTGATAGAATCTTTACGCCTACGATTTATCTCTTCTCTTTATGCTATGGTAACATATGATACATGAAATGGCATTGATTTTTCACGAGAAAGCCGAATCTGAGCTTAGATTTTGGGTATGATGCGTTTCAAGTTGAATTTTCTGAATTTGAAAATTTAAGACGGCGGACGTAGCCTAAATTGATACATCGGCTCCCATTCCATCGATTAAATTCGAATTTTTAGTCTAATTTCGAAAATTCGAAAAACCAAGGTGGCGGGCGTGGCCTAAAACGCTATCTCAATTCCTGCTCGTCGGATTTTCGTAAAACTTGGTGCCAAGGGGAGGGGGGGGGGAGGAAAGAAATTTTAAAACACTGCAATCGATATGTCGCAGGCAGATAGTAAAATTAGGCAAATGCCTAGCCAAATAGTCAAATACTAGGGGGCTATGCCCCCTGACCGCTACGCGGCCCAACCCCCTGAAGGCACTCCGCGCCATCAATGGGACGCTTTGTGGCCCTATTTTTACCTCCTATCAGTGTTAGTTTTATTTTTCCCCTCAAAAATTACGATATGAGGTATACTTTACTTTTAGAATGAAATAATTTTTGGTTTTGATGAATATTTTAGTTCGTTTTAATCCGGTTTTTTTTTTTTTTTTTTTTTTTTTTTTTTTTAAATCAGTGAAAAATTTAACATCGTCCGAGTTTCTGAATTGTTGGAATAAATGCCCTTTAATTATCATTAAAACCGAGCCGAGTCAAGAATAATTAATTGCGCGAAGTCATATAGTTTTGCGGCAACTTTACCGTCACCCGAGCCAGGGACGGGAAAAGGAGTACGCTCCACGAACATATTATTACACGCTTATCAGTACACGCTTATGTTTTTCCTTAAGACTTGCGATTAAGAAAAGACGAGTTTTCATAAAAACTGGAAAACAAGTCTTTTGGATCTAGAGCCCAGACTCTTAACAACATTGACAAGAAAAAATATTCTTGATTCAATCCGATTTTTCCTTGAATCGAAGAGCCGAGCCTCTCGATTTAGGCGGATTTTCTCTTGATTCAAGTGAAAAGTCCGATTGAATCAAGAGTATTTTTTCTTGTCAACGTCTTTAAGAGTCTGGACTCTAAATCCAAGCGACCTTTTTTCACTGAATGCTCTGTAATACCGTGTTAAATCGTTGAATTTTGTAGGTACACCTCCCTTAAGTGACGTACCAGAGTCGGACTATCCAACAGTAATCGAGCAAGAGAGCAGGAGGAAGGTATTGATCGTACAGGCCGGGGCGTTTTCGAAGTACTTGGGATATCTTACCATCACATTCGATCAGAACAATACGATCCAATCGTGGACTGGAAATCCGATTCTTCTTGATAACACCGTGGAGGAAGGTAATCGACTGTCATCATCAATCCTCCCTCGTTATATTTGTGATTCAGGCGCAAAGTATAAGAAGGGATTTTTATTCTCAAAAGGTCTTCTAAAGTAAACTGAGAAGAAAATTTGACGGTAAGAACCGATCATTTGGCATGTTAAAACAAACTTTCTATCAATGTATTTGAACTTGTCGGCCTCTTGAGGTGTAGGTCGGCTGGTCGGCCTCCTGTGGTGTAGTGGTGGTAGCGCTTGCTCTATGATCGGGAGGTTCCGGGTTCGACTCCCGGCCAGGCGACCTGAGTAATAAAAATCTCAAACAATAGTAGAAATTGAGATAGAAAAAAAAATTGAACTTTGTTACAAATCATTCATAGGCTATTTAATCTAGTCTGGTCACAGCTTTTCGGTTTAGGGCTGCAGTATTAACAAAATATTATCCCTCTTTTATTTTTCCTACCTTTGACTTCTCTTCCCTATTTTCATTAAATTATACTTTTTAAATATATAACTTCAAAGTATATTTTTTTGACTGTTTTGTTTGTATTTTTTTCGATATCCGACAGACCCTTCAATTCTCCAAGAGATGGAGCCGTGGCGCAAGGAGGTTCATGAAATAGGAGATAGAGTGATCGGTGAAACTCTGGTATTCTTGGATGGCAGGCAGTGGGTCTGTCGCATTGGTGAGTGCGCCATAGGGAAACTTATAACTGACGCAATGATTTATGACGTAAGTAAGGCCTTTTGTGGATTGAATATTTGATAAATTAGTTCCAAATATGTGAAAATAAGCGAGCTTCTCTGGTAATTTGCGTTTACTTTAATCGGAGAGTGAACTATACCTTAGCGTAATGTAGTCATCAGCCATTCATGCTACATATCTGGACCACTGTGTTACTTGCCGTGGTATCTGAAAACTATCTGAATTACGACATTTACGATTGAGATATATCTTGCCATCCAATTAAAATAGGTAACACTACGGTGCACGATCTGCATCAGCGAGGTACCTGCTTGGCCTTATAAGATTCTCAGAAGAAAAAAGGAAATTTTACTGGAAAAATGGTCGAATCTTTGTGTCAAGTTGTACTGTCTGAAAATTTCCTCTCCTGAAACTCAGGTTCTTTCTTTTTTGCCATAAAAAATTCACGGCGAACCCGCTTCCCAGGTAGCAAGGTCTGCTATAAAATAATTTTTATTATATCTTCGAAATAACAGTTTTATTGCTATTAAATGAGAGTTTTAATTCCTATTAATATATTATAAAAAAAACAATTTATATCGGTTGAAAAGATCGATTAAAGTACTCCCCAGTTACAACAGTTTCAGGCGCTATATTCCTATTTTATGAAGTTAAAAATAACAGTTTAAAATAATTTAATGACATAAATCAACAATGATTAAAGTAGTGAAAAACAAATTTCATTTGGAAAATTTACTGGTGTAAAGCGACACTTGTCTTAAAATAAAAATAAAAAATTTAAATGTTGAATACGAGTTTTGAATTATTCTTGTAAAGTATTAAAAAAAACTTAAAATATCCATAGAAAAACTAATTTCTAATAATAGAACGACTCGTAAAATTGTAGTTTTATTGAAATTTAACAGTGTCAATATATGAAATTTTATTCGTTTTTAATATTTTGTTAAACTGTTATTTTTTGGTTTTAAAAGATCAATTATAGAACTCCCCAGTTTCAGGCCTCATATTTCTATTTTGAACACCGATGACGGTGAGCACCGATACTTCCTCTAAGGAGGAGCAACAAAGACTATGCAGCAGGGATGTGACTACACTCGACACACCACACTACAATCAACGCTATAGATAGGCCCATGCCCTGTCTAGGCACAGTTAACCACAGGGGGGTCATCAAAAATGTGAGAAGAAAATCCACTCATATGCACCGAACAAAGCAAACATAGAAGCCGTCGATAAAAAAACGTATGTCGTAGAATATAAATAATATATTTTATGTTTTCACTACACACAAAGGTTAGACAGGCACCATAAACGACCCATCCAAAAACAAAATAAATCGGAGCTCTCTATCGGAAATAAAAGGAAACACCCCGATTACAATAAAACAATCGGAAATTAAAATCGGTATTTAAAAAAATAATGTAATACTAATTTATATTTCACAACTGTTTAAAATAAAATGTTTTGCAGAAAAACTGCAATAAATCAGATATTTAAACTGTCATTTTATCACTATCACTTGTATCTTTTTATCGATTTAAATTATATTTTCCTTGTTAGTGATAAATAGTTATCAAAGTTTTTTATAAGGATTCTTTTTCGACAAAAATTAAAGCTACACCGGTTTTCAGGAAACAATGATTTAAAAATAGTTTCTCACCAATATTGTTTAATAAATAATGTAATAATAATTAATATTTCATGGTTATTTATAAGAATGTGTTTTGCAAAAATATGGCAACAAATGAGATATTTAAATTTGTTTTTTATTGTCTTTTTTTTATCTTTTTATTGATTTAGATTAAATTTTTCTCATTAGTACAGTATAATACTTTATGTTTTGTAAAATAGCTTTTTTAAAACAAAATGGTCTACTTCTGTGTTTTATGAAATCAACTTTAAAAAAAAATAAATTAGAATAATTTTTTTAACTTTTTTTAGTTATTAAAATGTTAATCTACTTTCCTTTCTTTAAAAAAGTTTTGTTAAGTAAGTGATTTTGATTGAGAATTAAACCGTCGTTTTATTTCAAATCTAAGTATGTTTTTATTGCAATAATAGTTTCCTTTTCGATCGGTGTATAACACTAGTTAAATTTGTGTTATATTTTCAGAAAACATGACTAAATTATAAATTTTCCACTGGTATTTTTTAAGTATGTAAGAAAAATTTTTCAGTGATTATAGTCGCAAAGGACTTCTCTTTTCCGTTGGTTTTTCAACTGTTGTACTAGAGCAAATTTTTCGATGAAAAAGTGCACAAAAGTAACAGTGTAAAAACTGTTGTGAAATTGCAATTTTGAACTGTTACTATTGCTACCTGGGGCAGTACATAAAGAGAAGGACGGGAAATAACTGGACAGAAGCTGCAGTTGCTCTGATCAACGCTAGAGGAATCCGGGCTTCTATCATGAAAGGAAGTGAGTTTTAATGCCTTTTTTATATTTGGTGATTTGTTTCCACATATACGTCATGATTCAACTGATCAACATACAATTGAAAAGTTCTCAACATACTTAACATAAATGCTTCGCAGCAACAATGATTGTTTTTATACATGTTTGTATAACATGTTACACAAGATAGTATAATTACGATTCAAGTTTAAAAGCTATTCCTTTCTTGCACTTGGCATGAAACGTCAGATCTTTTCAACAAAATATTTGCTAATTTCACTGATGTTTGTGAAAAACTTAGAGTTTGTAATGGTAAATTATCAATTTATGCAGCTACTTTTAACATTCATCTCAGTTGAATTCTGCTCTTTCCGTTCATTAAGAAACAATATACATTTCTTAGGCATCATGAAAATTACATATATTTTTTTACGTGCACCAAGAAAAACGCACCATTTCTTATGCAACATTTTTTCTGGTCCAACTTGAATGCCGGCTTTGATACCCCCACGGTTATTCACTCTTGGATTGAATTAAACGCCACCGTCAATTTCAAATTTTCAGAATGTATAGTAAATCAACATTCAAATCTCACTAGACACAATTTTAACATCCAAAATGCCGTGTCAGCGTATTTTTTTTTTCTCGGTGCAAGCTTATTATTCACAACTCGGTATATAGCTCGTAATATAGGCCTGGTCATGAAGCACAAAGAAAGGCAAGCTGTTATTTTTGTGTAATAATTAAACTCTTTATAAATATTAAAGTTTAAAATTTTTGGATAGTACTGAGCAACAGTATTTCAAAATTTTACAGACCTGACCTACGCAAAGCTGCTAGACACTCTACCTTTTAGTGAAACTTACGACTTAGTAGAGTTGTCCGGGAAGCACTTACTACAAGTTATGGAATTTGCAGTAGCCTCCTTAAAATCATCATTCTTGCAATATTCGGGTGAGTACATCACTGCTTCTCCATTGGTATAAATTACGTATTGACTGATGAAGACATGAAGTCACTTTACAGTCGCATTGAGTATAAAAACACGATTCTATGAATAATACTTGGTGGTGCCCTGAGTTAGTTTTTTAGTCGACGCGACGTGGTGGGTGGCCGCGATGATAAAGTCTCCGTTAGTATTATTTAATTGAGCCAATACTGAAGAAAATATCAGGTCAACGCAAAAAATTGAATGAACTCCAGCTAACCTGTCTTTGCGCTTCGGCCGGCCGCGGCAATGCGCAGCGTGTCAAGGCGTCTGCATACAACTATTGCCACTCGACTGCTGCATGAGTTGCCTATCAAAATATTGAGGGCGCCTTGACTTTGCTCGCTCTTTGGGTCGAGCCAGCCAGCAGCGCCGCTCCGTTTCCAGTCGGTGAGGTAGGTGGCCGTAAGAGGCGCTATCACACCACCCGTATTCATCCTACTCCTGACACAAACATATATTAGCACGACTGAGCACACGGATGTATCAATGATGCGGATTTCAAAAAAGAATTGTATAAACGAGAGAACGCTCTATTGAATGCCTTGCCTACTATTTCGCAAGTCTCTTAAGATCTGTAGATGTCCCCCCCTCCGTATTCTCAGTCAAACAATGGTCTCCTAGAATTTGTGGGAAAATATACCTAATGGGTCTTTTCGGAAGTTTGGTGACGGGTGTAGACCATAACTCATGTAAAATGACTTCCTCCACAATATTAGCGCTGAATTGATTTATAGTTTCCAAAATACCAAATTCTCAAGTTGAAGGGAGATACTAGGTGTTCCAACGCAGGAAATTAAAAAGGGAGAGATTTTTTTTTTTTTTTTTATTCTGAAAGACCCGAGACTCTTTGAAACCTCCTTTAAGTGCCCGAAATTTTTGGGCCGTAGATGAATTTAGCACAAAAAATTTAATTGAAGATAGCCATTTTTTACGAGTTTTGGTCTATAATTTGGGAAAAAACCATGATTTTTCCAAAAAATTGACCAGCCGTATCATTGATAGGGAAAACTTTTGGATAAAACTTCATTGAAGGGAAAAGTCCAATTTTGACTCATAGAACACGCACCCACAGTATCGTCGATTAATACTAAATCACATTGTGCATAGGGTCACTCAGCTCAATGACGGGAAACTGCAAATCCATAGTTTTTCGATTAATGGCTGTGGCACAAAGAAGTCTCAAAATTCCAAGTTCATAACTGATTTTTGAATCAGGTCCGGCTGTAGTAGCCAATAATGATCCGACAAAGACAATAAACTGAGCAAAAATTTTATTTGTGAAGTCGCTGCAATTTTGTTCTGAGACGCTTTGTTATGCATTTTCAGGGATCAAAGCAACAATTGATTTGGATGGGCCAAAATATCATCGGGTGTCCAACGTAAGTGTCCGGTGTGCTGACTGTGTAGTTCCACTTTACAGACCGTTGGAGAAGGGTCAGTTTTATAAAATAGTTTTACCTTCGTTTGTGTGCGAGGGAGGTGATGGTTATAAAATGATCAAGAAAAATGCCCGCAGACACGTTAAAGGTGAGAAGAATAATTAGCGATCCACTTATTACAACTCACAACAGCACGTGGTATGGTAACATAAACATTTTAAACTAATTCTTAATTGGACCGCATTAAGCAGAAAGGAACCAAGCCAGATCGGCTATTGCCAAATTAAATTGGGCAATTTAATTTCATGAAAGAGGGTTATGCCAATTTTCCCCCCAAATGTCAGTAAATTTTTGTGCGAAGCAAAGGCCCTAAAATTTTCAAAAGAAGCCACACACGTTCTCTTGTAAAATATTAGATTTCCCAGTTGAATTTGACAATAGCTGATGCGGCTTGCTTACTTTCTGCTAAGCTTAGTCCAATTATTGTTCTATTTAACTTATTTCTTTACAAATAATTATTTTTTGCCTTGACAAGTTATTTTCTGAATATTTGTAAGAAAATGCTAGTCCGCTGACAAAAAGAAAAACTGAATAATCAAAGCAGAAAACCAACTTTGAAACTAATAGCTCTTATTCGTAATTGTTCTTGTATGTATTTGCTGTGCGTGACTGTTCTCTGAAAAGGCCTCATGATTTTTTTTTTCTTGCGTTCCAGGTCGAGTGAATACAGAAATCCTTCAAGACTATCTATCCGTATTCAGTCCTGTTTTTATCGAATCTGAAGGGAACATAATCGTACATGCCTCTCGTAAAATTGTGGATAAAATCAAGACATTGTATCCGAAACCTGCAACAGGGAACATTTGATGACTGCAACATGAATGCACCTGACACTTGACGTGCACTGTAGGCCATAGTCATCTACATGGACTGGGTTTGGACAATTTTGTAAAACAATTATGATGACGAAGAGTAGACACGTTGCTCTTTAAAAAATTTCGTGATCATTGTCACAAATATAATTTTGGTTTCTAAAACTTGAAACGAGATAAGGCAGCCGAAAAATTGAATTAAAACGCGACATTTAAAAACGCCTTCATTTAGTGAAATAGGCAACATACTACCTATGAACACGAATAGTAGCCTACCAAGCCAGTGTCGATATCTCACTTATTTATAGCTACTTATTCAGTCATAAGCTGTGATGGGCATGGGAGTCCTTTTTTCGCATTGTGTATCTAGTGAGTTGTTCTCTTTGTTTAGAGATACTTTTTAGTGCAAATTTTCTACCGAAGCACCATAAAATACATTCAGATTCCGTGTTTAGTACCTGAAGAAAAGGGTCGGAATCTATGACTCGGACTTTCTAGCCCTAATAATTTCCGTCTTATGATCGGGAATTAAACACAAAAAGCATATGAATTTGAGCATTGTATCACTGGCTCATGCGTTTTATTACTCTTTTACTCACTGTTTTAAGAAGAAACTTTTAGCAAGAGTGTCCTTGCAGTTTTTGATATGTTAGACCACCTTTGATGTTCACCTGTGAAAATATCACAATAAAGACAAAAATATATAAATTATAGTATAATTTAAATTACTTCGTGTACAGATGTATTCAAATATTTTCACTTCGTGCTCACATATTGAATCAGAAATTAGAAAAATCAATAATTCACGAAAATCCTGTCATGTGACAAATGCTAAAAATGGATCGGAAGGTCTAAATTAAATTGTCCACGACATCCAGATTTCATTCCAAAATTTTTGCGTAGGAAATTAGGACCACAATTAATTTTAAGGAAAAGAAGAGTGGGATCGTTTGTTTGATGGTTATGAGTAGATTCTTTAAAATTTCAATAGGAACGCTGTTTAAAGTTGGAAAATCACTAACCACTGTGCATCACTAATACATTTCACTTCTTCCTAAAATGCCAACTTGAAACCTGATCTGAGACACTCTCCGATGCATTTATCTAGGAAAGCTGATTCAGGGATTATTTGAAGAAATTCATTTCGATAATAATAATAATCGGAAAATCATCAGTGGAAATATTGTAATGGGTACTAGGGGTAGGGGGGGACTTTGAAGTCACCGCGGGCCATTGGTCGAATTCAGGTAGGGTGATCATGCGAAAGTCGTTCAGGGTGCTAATTAAAATGAGGGAGGGGGTCTTGCTTTCTTGCCAAAAAATAAAATAGTCGGAAATATTAATTTATAGAAAATAAAGGGATTATAATGGGTACTAAGGGTAGGGAGAAACTTTGAAGTCACTGAGGGTCATTGGTCGAATTCTGGTGGGGCGAACATGCGGGAGCAGTTCAGGGTGCTAATTGCAATAGGGGGGGGGGGGGGNCCCCTCGCCGGGGGAGGGGGGGCGATAAAGCCGGGGCGAGGGGCAAAGTAGACGTCATGATGCCGGTCCAGCGCACGTTAATAGCCGCGTGAGTCGTGAGTTGGTGACGAGTGCGAGAGAGATGGTCGAGTTTGGCACCGGGCATTGTTTCGTGCTATCGACATCTAAAGTTTATCAGTTGACAGTTGATAGCCGGTTGGGTTGGGTAACGACAGTCCCTCTCTGGCTGACCAACCGCCCCGTGGGCTTGAGTCGCCGTTCCCGCGACCCGAAATTTGATGGAATTCTAAAGAAAACGATTAGCTCGATAGCAATGACGTAGAAAAAAAAAATGATGGGGGGGGGGAAGGGAGATAATTTGATACAAAAATGAAAGACTTGAAATTGGAGAATTTGCAGGAAAAATGTGTGTTGCTCCATTTGAGAGTGCTTAATAAGCCTAGTTCGCAGTATTTTTCAAAAAAAAATTCTGTCATGGGAAACTAGAAAAGTAGATTTAAAAATGAGGAAATGCACAGCTTTGTGACGTTATCTGGCGGCATTTCCCGTTTAAACACATGTGTTTTAGAACACATCTGCATACGTCTCGCCACAAACAAGATTTAACAGTAAGTCTACGGCCTATAAAAGTTGTATTGCAAAGAAATAACAAATGTTTTGATATTAAGATTGAACTTTTTGCGTGTCATTGTTTACTGTTCAAATTGCGGCATCTTTGTATGGTATATCAGGATCGTATTCATTCTGTGCACCGTGGCGATGGGCCCAGATGGTCTGATGGCTGTATAAACAAACACATCGTCGAGAGCAGGGCACGATAATATTTATAATTGTAAGATATTTTCATGAAGAGACATAATGCAGCCAGGTAGCAGTTGTTGACGTAGGATCTCACCGAATTTTTAGATTTGTAGTTTACCTTGCACCATGTAAAAACGATCTAGTGAGTCCCATTATTTGTGTAGTATATGGCACATGCACTCAGCAATCGCCGGCAGTTTGCGAGCTTTTACATTTTTTTCGATGCGAATCAGCGTAATAAAGGTCTGATGGGTTAAGGCCTTCTAAAGCATGATCTCGTCTTGGAGCGCCTTCATTTTTTGTGATACTCGACGCTTTGTCACGGTGTTAGTTTAGTTGCGTGACCCAACTGAACCCAACGAAGGTCATGACTTCCACCACACGCTCTCATGAGTTTACCTGTTACTATCATGCTTTTATGGAGGAGAAAATGTCCACTTTCATTAAAAGAAAACTAATCAGTACTTCAATCTTGTTCCTATTTTTCTGAAATCTATTATTTTATATAAATTCACTCATGGCTTGCAAATTTCCGGCGACTGCTAATTGCCTGCGACATATATGACTTTTGTCTGGACTGCATCATTCATGATGACAACTTGATGTTGCAATATTTTTTCATGTTTAGTTTAAATAAATTGAATTTTTATTTATTTCTTTTCCATGTTTAACTATCTCGAAGTTTTTAATTTACACGTCCTCCTTATCGTCTACCGTCACATATTTGCGATTTGTACGATCTATTAATTCGTGATTAGTAGAACTCATCTATCGGTCACATTTCCTGAACGACTGCAGGATTCTCCGTAAATATTGAAAAACTTCAAAGGAGAAAAGAAAAAAAGAAAAAATTAACGAGGCAAAAAGTAAAAAGATATTTTTGGAAATAAATTGAACTTGCGCACTTGACGCAAAGAGAAAATCAACATAGTCAGTTAAAAAGTAAGTTTTTGGATGTTTATTTCAGAGTGTAGGTGTCATACCTCAGAGTCAAGCCTCGAATACTCATCCAGAGGTCTAAGGATTCTAAAAATTTGAAGCCTGGTAATTGAAATTAAAACTTCATACTTATTTCATTTTCAAGTCAGAGTTTTTTAAGTTCAAAATGAAATTCAATCTATTTAATTTATAAGTTTTTGACTTTCTCCTTTGTTAAGTGAACCGTAACGCTACGATAACATATGACCCGCGGAGAATAAATTAATTAGGAAGGTAGGTTGCGTGCAGTGTTCATGATATGTACGGTTGGAAAAAATAGGCTCGCAATATTTATATTTTTTATGATAATTTCTTGGCTTTTGTGATTATCTATGTAGAAGTACAAGAGTCTATGATTATAACTGACACTTTTTACGGTTTATTTTCCTCAAATATAAGTTACTTAATTTGATTGTAAAATGAATCTGTGATTTCAATTTAATTATGTAACCCACCAAGATGTACAGTCCTGAAACTCATGAATTATAGAGATGTCTCCTAATTGGAACCAATATTCGTTGTCTCGTTGGCTGTTGAAAAATGAGATCAATTCTTTCTTGGTTGAAAAAGGCAGGAAAACAAAGTTTATTTAGACTTTCGGAGAAATACTCGTTTCAATTTCAAATCTTATTTGCTATGCTAGTGGTCAGAACATTGCTTGACACATGAAAAAAACTTGCACGGACAAGAATGGGACGCTTGTGATAGGTACATATTAGCGTCCTTTACTTTTAGTGATTTGGTATGCTTTGAACATGCCACAACTTGTACAATTGAGAGAAGTTGTAAACAGACATTTTGCATATCTTCTGAATTGAAGGCGTTCTAAATTAATTCGAATTTCCTGTAATAAAGATCCGCTTTGGAACGTATTACACGATGTCATGGCATTTGCCTGAGTCACTGCTCAGAAAGCATCACTACTCGGCAAACGAACAAGCGAAGCGAATTGAAATCGGTGCACGAGACAAATTTTTATTTTGAATAAAAAATTTTAAATTGTTATTGTAATTTTTTCAAGACAAACCGAGTGCATCGGTTCTTTTTGAGACGAAACATTAAATTCATATTTTTTTCTCAAACATTTGTATCAGGAAATTGCATTTGCTTATTTGAACCCAGCTTGAATTAATCAAAGATATGCGAATCATTCAACCATGGTGACGTATAATCTATCTGTAATAAATATTCTGACACTTCTGCATCAATTACATGCCGGAGGGATTTGTGGTTTAAGTGCTCTCTCTCTTATGTAAAATTCCGTTTGAAACTTGATGTTGTCACTAGTTTTCTCTGTTACAAGCCGAAGTTCAAAACAAATTCTTAAAGTTGAGACTGTAATGGAGGAGATTGCCTGAATTATGGTAAAACTTTACCTCTTTATTCGGTCCTCTTCATGCACGAATAGGAATCGGACGGATTAGCAGGGTTGCAGGCTGCAACTTCGGAGCCCCCTTACAAAAATGCCAACTTTCCTAATGTGTTTGTTCCCTATTTGTACATGGAGAGTTTGACAAAGCCACAGTGTGATTGGTGAGATCTGACCATAACAAAGGCGATCTCCTCCATTTCGGCTTCAACCGCCACGCCACGGCGGCGGGGATGGGATTTTTGGCGGCCCGTTCCTGGCACATTCTGACAGTAGTTATCGGTTACCGGAACTAGGGTTTCTCCCCGCTTTCAAGGCCAAAAAACTAGAAATGATGTAATTTCAACTTTTTGTGTATTTTTTTTTTTTTTTTTTTTGTGGATGACAATACAGCCGAGATAGCGAAGAGAGCCGTAAGTGCAAAATTTTCGAAATCGAGTTTTCTTCAAAATTCGTCTAAACTCTCTTAGATGAAATTACTGAGACAGCTATAACATCAAAATTCATCCTAATTCAATGAAAACGAGATGTGTGAGAAAGCCGTAAGTGCACAAAAAATGACATAGTTTTTTTCAAGACAGCCGCAGGTGCATGAGAGCCAATGAAAACAGTGCTTTCCAGTAAAGTGCCGCCCTCCTCTGCCAATTTCTAACCTGAAAATGTGTTTGATGTGCGTCCAAAACGCAACCACGAAAGCATGCAGAAGATAGCACTTACGGCTGTCTTGCCTAACGATAACCTAGCATGAAAATGAAAAATACCCTTTTTATGTAATGGAAATAAAATCAGTCGATTTTTAATCATCCATACGATTTCTAGTAGTCTTCCAGACGATTAGTGGCAATTTGACAAAGAACGGAGGCTTCTTTCAATAAAATGTTCCGGTTACAAGCTTCTGAGCCCGTTTTCTCAGAACTTCATTTTTGCACTTACGGCTCTCTTCGCTATCACGGCAGAATACTTCCTCTACACGCAAGGGGAGCGAGAAAGAAAAACTTAAATTGCAAAAAATCGCCCGGTTAAACGCCCACTCCAACATTCATCCGTTACCATTCGGTGAAATTTCAACAAGCTGCCCTTGAGCAATCATCT